TGTCTTGGATTACAGTGTCTGGGATTTGTGTGTGTGGCATGTCTGGGATCACAGTGTCTGGGATTTGTGTGAGTGGCATGTCTGGGATCACAGTGTCTTGGATCACAGTGTCTGGGATTTGAGTGAGTGGTATGTCTGGGATCACAATGTCTTGGATCACAGTGTGTGGGATTTGTGTGAGTGGCATGTCTGGGATCACAATGTCTTGGATCACAGTGTCTGGGATTTGTGTGAGTGGCATGTCTGGGATTACAATGTCTTGGATCACAGTGTCTGGGATTTGAGTGTGTGGCATGTCACACATCATGGTGTCATGGCTCTGAGAGCCCAATATCAGTGTGTGATCTAGGGAAGAGATGAGGTCTGGGATACAGGTGTCAGAGATCTATAGGTCTGGGATCAGGGTGGCTTGGATGTGGGATATAAGAGTCTGCATTCTACTGAATTCCATCTAAATCACTAACTTTCATTCCATCAAAGAAGTCCAATGTACCACAGCAAAGGATGTAATAATTCAGTTACTTGACCCAAGTCTGCAAGGAACTGACAATGGACTTCAGTGATACAACACACAGACCCAAGACTGCAAGAAACTCTCCAATTACTCCTGACAGAGGACGATGGTCAGTCCCACGTATGGAGACACCAACGTTTACAGAGACGGAACAAATCAGGAAAAATAACTTCCTGGGCTTAATTGAACGGACACAGGTCAGGAGGGGCTGTAAGGGAACGATTGTGGTCAGGCTGTCAATCCAACAAGACAAATTGGAGATGCCAGTTAGTGTGTTTAAGCTAACACAATCAAGCTGGTTGAAGGGCTTGGTCATTGGCCTACCATAAGAACATGATCGTGCAGAAGGACTGCAAGACTAGTTCAAACCTGGCAGTAAATCAACTCTCGAAAATTAAGAGAAGACTCTCCTAAGCTTGTTACATATATAACGAAATGATAGTAATAAGTAGTTACTACATGATTCATTTTGAAATTTACCATACCTGTGAATACAGTCGAACCTCGTTAATAAGAGGTCCTTTGGACTTGGCAAATTACCTTGTTATAACAGGAACTTTGTATCATCAGGAATGAAAACAATGAAAACAAACAATTTCCTTCTTGTAAGCAGAATCCTGTATTAACAGTGCTCTTATTAACAAGGTTTTACTGATATGACAGGCAAATCATGTACTTGTACGTAAATAAATTGGATTCACATTTTCAAAACTGGAATCCCCAATCTATTTCAATAAACATTGTATACTCATTGCTTATAAGAGCTTGTGCAAAAAAATTCACAGGTGTCATCAAGTGGGAACGGAACCCATAACTACATGTACCTGCCTACTTCTGCAAACATTTCTTACTGGTTTGTGAATTTTTCCACACAGAATTTTAGAAAGCATTATTTACATGTATACGGTGGTTGTTGAATGACATCAGTTGAAGCCCAAATTTTGAAATTTGTTTTTAATTTGACAGATGTGAAATTCTAAACAAACTCAACTGTTATGATATACCCCGGAACATGTACATGTAACTATGTTGAAAAAAAACCCATATTTTTCAATGCCAGTGTGGCTTGTTAACAAAATGAGAATTTCTTTAAGACACTAACAGAAGATGGATGATTCTACTAATCTTACCCCTGCTCCTTTGTCCCAGGAAGTGCCTGTAGGTTTCTTGGGGTTAATACCTTCACGACGACAGATGACACCCTTGGCACCATTGACTTCATCTGCGATGATCCAGATCTGAATTCATCAGAAAAAAGGAAATCAAATCACCATTCAGCTTGGATTCATCCTAATTAGGTATACCGGTACATGTACAGTACCTTAATCCTTGAAACTCAACTAGTTCCATTTTACTTTAGTGTGTGTATTTTGATAAATAAATACCCCTGAAACAAAGTTGCTGTGAACTTCTATGAGATTTGATGCCAACTTGTAAAGAACCTGAACAAACCATGTGCCAAAGTTAATACTGCTTTGCTGCATTGAATACTGATAAATACGGGAAGTTTACAGTGCCTACATTTAGGCCAGTAAAGTTAGGGTGACAGAAGAGAAAATAAGCAATTGGTATTGAGGGATTGTGTGGCTGACATCTTGCAGGCCAGTGCTTTTGTTCCACAGGGTATGCACCAAGGAGGTTTCCCTGTGGAATTAAAGAACTGCCCTGCAAGATGGCTACCATACAAAGACTCTATTAAAGTCCACTAGTACGTGTAACTGTAATCATTGCATATAGTGGTATACCTGCAGATTCAAATGAAGCTTAGGCCTATTGTACATGTACAGTACATTGTAAATGTACAGTGTCTGTGTCCTCAAGCAAGACACTTAGCTGTGATAACTGTACATCTCTCTTTAACTAAGGACCTTATGCTATCAATTTACAGGTAGCTATCAGTATTGTTTAAATCGGGAAAAGTGCAATCCTAAGAGAGAACAGTGACCCTTTATTCTACTCGGTATCTACATGTACATGTACATGTGAATGTGTTGACCTCTGACCTTTCATTCACTACATGTACATGTAAGAACAGGCAAAGGTGCTGCCCAAATCTAGAAACCATTCCGAGGTGAAGAGTACAGGCAAAAATGATGCCAAAATCTGGAAACCATTCCGAGGTGAAGAGTACAGGCAAAGGTGCTGCCCAAATCTGGAAACCATTCCGAGGTGAAGAGTACAGGCAAAGATGCTACCCCAATCTGGAAACCATTCTGAGGAGAAGAGTACAGGCAAAGATGCTGCCCCAATCTGGAAACCATTCCTAGGTGAAGAGTACAGGCAAAGGTGCTGCCCCAATCTGGAAACCATTCCTAGGTGAAGAGTACAGGCAAAGATGCTGCCCCAATCTGGAAACCATTCTGAGGTGAAGAGTACAGGCAAAGGTGCTGCCCAAATCTGGAAACCATTCCGAGGTGAAGAGTACAGGCAAAGATGCTGCCAAAATGAAAAATAAATATCCAACCTCTTTGAATACAGAAGGCAAAAAATGTATTTTTAGCAAAAGATTTCATAAACAAGTTGGAGGATTCCAACCTCTAAGAGTTACTGAATCACAGGAATCACGATCTGTATCTTAATGTAGGAGGACAGTTGGTTTTATTCTTGTTCGTTTTCTCCCTAATTTCAATATTTTCAATATTTCATGGCATACATGTACATTTGAAAGTCTTATAAATTTGTTAGGCCTTAGTAGTGTGCATTGCACAATTGCAATTTCTATTTCTACTGGTGAGGTTTTTTGGGGGGTGCCAATATGTTTCAGATCATGACTTGACAGTATGCTAAACCTGCCGTTTTTGTCATCTCAGAGGTGACAGTATGCCAAACCTGCCGTTTTTGTCATCTCAGAGGCATACTTGTCCCTTCCAATTTAAAAGAACACCAACAGGTAAACACCACGCTGTTGGCGATTGACTCAATGGGAAAGCGTGGTGGGCGATAAAGTCACATTGACATAACACATTCCTACCTGGAGAATCGAAAAAACGAGCAACGGTAGAAAAAGAGAGACTTCTGGAAGAAATTAACCCCTTGACTTCTGGAAGAAATTAACCCCTTGAAGAATTTCTAAACGTGGAGCATGAGGTGCTGATTGTCAAGGGGCGGGGTTGTAAGTAAACGACCTTTTCAACCACAAGCAATGACATAGCACTTTCAACCAAATTACAATGCACAAGTACATGTACATGTGTGAACTTGATTCCAACGGCCTCAGTAATAAGACCCGTCGATATGGAGATGACAAGTTAGCAAGAGGTCTGCTTATACATTTTTGTTGTTCAGTGTGTGAAAATATTTTTCCCAAAATGTGCATATGTACTCTCAATTGGGTAGATAGTGATAACTGAAGAAGGCTGGGAATATATATAAGGATTTAGAAGACTTCAGACAATATGAGAAAGGCTGCTTATGTCATTCTGAGAGTTGCCTTAACTTGTACTGGAAATATTTTCAAAATCTTTTGCAACAAAATATACAGCCTAATAATGAAAGAAAAATGACCAAAGCTGCAGGGCCCGATCATGAGCTGACTTGTCAATCAGTCAGATCTTGGGAACTTTGTGCTTCTAACAGAAAAATACTAAAAATATCAGCTCCATCTCAAATCAGTAAATTTTTTCACTACACAAATCACTTTTTATGGTACAAAAACAAAAAGAGTTCAACTACCGTAACATAAACATCACAAAAATGCGGTCCTCAGGACCCCAAAATGGTCGTTTTTACTGATAACCTTGCATAGTTGTAGGAAGTCCTCTGAAAATACACAATGTAAATCACAGGTAACAGAGGTTTGAGGAACACTAACGAACACCTACTTGACAAAGTGGTCTCTAAATGAGGTCTGTCACCTGCATCCTCAAGTAATAAAACCATTGTAATTCAGATATCCAATATAACAAAGCTCACCTGTAACCACCCCTTAATCCCCTCCCACTCCCAGGGCAAAAAAATAAAAGAAAAAATTCAGGAGAGAAAGCAGTCCCGTTTGTAATCCAATGGCTGTTATTCATCACTGGGTTAAGGAAGAAAGGAGACCACAGGATTGCTACAGCAGCATTAATTTAATTGTTGTGCTATCAAGGAAATTCATCTAATCGGTACCCAATTTCTGGTGGAAATCCCAACACAGCAAGTGGGCATGTTAGAGACACAGCAGACCTAACGAACAAGGGGGGGGTGTGTGCTGGAGGCAAGGGGGGAGGGATGACTGCGGTAGATATGGTAGATGGCGGAGAATGGGCTAAATTGGGATACAAGTTATAAAGTGTAGCTGGCGCCTTATAGGCTGTTACACAGGAAAGTTTATTAAGACATAGAGTGTACAAGACTGATGACAGTGATGGTATCGCAAACATTGTAATGCATCATCTATAGTTTACAGGTGTGGAACTTATCTTTCTCTTTATGTTCAGCCATTTGGTTTGAGTTTTGGAAGGAAAGTGCTTAAATTGAAGGGGAGATAAATAAAATTTGATTTCAAATTTGATTTGCTTATCAATGTTGTTTTGGTAAACTGGGCTTTATCATATTAATTCATATCTACACATGCCTTTACTTTCTAGGCAGATTTCTTTGGTAAGTTACTTTTGAGCTTTATTTTTAATGCTTGAGAAATGGCTTTTTTTGTCTAAGATAAATGGTAGAGAAAAAAGCATTATGAAGGAATGTTTGTTCACTCACACATTTCACTTCACCAGAACATACTGGTTCATAGACAGGAAAACATGACACTAATATGAACAGCTACAGGCTAGATCAAACTTTGAATTCTACAAAGCAACTAGATTACTCTTTAAGTGAAGTAATTTCAACCTGGACAGTTTGAAGAATCTGCTGAATTATTCTCTGCAGTATAACAAAGAGTGTATAGCACACACACTGTAGATGGGTCAATAAATGGCCCATTTGGTCAGAGGAGAGAACCCATTTGAGATTACACATCATATAAACATTTGCTTCCATTTGTGCCAGGTACATGTACACTGACTTTAAGTTTGACAGACAAAATGATAGAGTTTATTGTCACATCCCTTTGAAAAAATAGTAAAATCTGAAGATCCTTCCTTTCATAAAGTGTTTTCATTTCAACAAATACAACAATTAGAAACATTCTGGTTCACCTTTTATCATGTGTCACACAGAAGATGGTTATTGAAAACAGCTTTTTTTTCTTCAAACAGAGCACTGAACAGATTCCAAAACCTTCCACGTGGCCTTACAAATAAGTTTTTTGAACTTTAAATTTTTTTTTCATTCTTTAACAAACACATCATAGGGTTTGGTTCAATGCTGTAGTTCTTTTCAAAGGGGATTTTTGGCTAATTTCATCTTGTTTGCTGTTGAAGGAAATGCCCTACTTATAATCACACCTCCATTTAGTTAACGACAACCATGACAGGGGTCTTGCTATGTTCAAGAAGCGTTAAATTTCCTGTGTGTCATGACTCATGGTCACTTTGCTTCTTGGCCAGTATCAGATACTGGTGATTATAAAGATCAATGGACCCAAGCCATCATGGGCGGACTGCTTGTGATTGGTTGAGGGCAATTTTACATCTAGGATACACACAAGCCAATCCAACCCTGAGGCTGGACAACTTTTAAACATTGCATACAGGTAATATGCTCTTTGCCAATCAATTTGGCAGCTGTTACAAAAGGTTACTGTATTTTTAGTGATTCTTTCTAAATTTGGGATAGAGCAGAAATGCATTCCATCACCTACACTACACCCCTCCCTCTCCTCCTGGTACGGTGTGACACTCCCCTTAAAAAGGAAAAATCAGAATGCTTCTGCATAACTGCTCCTGCAACTTTGCTTCATGATTTAAAATAAATTACGCTCACATTAGAAAAGGAAATACACCCATGCAAATACACAGTGAACACTGTCTTCATATTGACAATGACAGTAAAAAGATATATCTTTTTAATTGTGATTATCTGTGATAGTGTACGGCAATTAGTCGAAACAGGTTTATATCATGGAATACAAAAGATTCCATTTATTTGTAACATTAATGTCAAATGCATACAAAGTAATAATTTCTAATTCAATATTAAGTATCAGACTGTTACCTGATCTTGAGGACCAACTGAGACTTTTCTGACTTTGTTACTGACATGGATCCAGCGAGTTCCTTCAGGGAATGTTGGTGTGATGTTTTCACGAAACCAAAGATTCACTGTCAATAAGAATTAATACTGATAGATTAGCATCGAAGAACAAGATGGAAGACAGCTCAGTTTCAGGAAACCGCAGTTTATCAGTTCTTAAAATGTGTCAAATGAGAAATCTGTTTTATCTTCCATACTTTTCTTTTTTTTTTCTAAAAATAAATGCTAGTGAGGCATGTGGGTTCTGAAATGATACCAACACACCCAACTGAAATGAGGAGGAGGGGCTGGTGTGGTACCCCCCATCAAAACATAGCGACATCAGAAAACTAACTTCAGTCATGTCCCAAAAGGTCAGCTTCTTTTTTCAATAAAACTCAATATGCTACCATTCAACCTGCTATCAATCATATCATGTTGATGTCCTTCCCATTAATCATAAAGGTCTGTTCAGTAACATGTAAACTTTTCCTCTTCATATGGAAACATCTACCACTTCCCTCGACCCAATCACTCAGCCTTCATAAAGTAAGCCTCCTGTGTGAAACATACCAGTAATGGAACAAGTACATGCAGGTATGTCTAGACAACCTTGTCCTTCCAACATTAAAGGGATAAAAGGCTAAAGAAACATGTATTCTGTACCTTACACCCTAATGTCAACAAGTCCATTGTCCGTTTTCAACACAGTATAATGTGAAACAAAATTATGAGCACGAGGTTGATCCACAAATAAAAGAAATAAATGTTGGTGCGGTATGCAAATTTTGAAGTTTTTTACATCAAAAGAAGGCCAACCTGTTTTAGTATTACTAAATGATACTGCTTCTACAAAACCCAATGTTTCCTGCGGACTCAGGCAACTGAGCAACACAAATTACATACCAAACTTTATCAGTTACTGCTAAAATCAGTACATTACTGTCATGTGAGGGAAACTGGAAGAGAATCCTGAAAATTCAATATGGAGGGTTCCATTCCAAAAAAAGATATGCATGTATGCCATTCAAAAATTACAGAATATTTAAGGGCAAAAAGTGTACAAGGTCTTCCTAAATGATATTTTTAACTGTTCTGACTCATTGAGTTGCTTTTTATAAAGTAAATACCCCAGAAACTGGCTGGAGGCAACCATGAGAAGGTGACATTCAGACAAGGATCAACCTGGCACTTATCTCATTTTGGAAACCAACTCTTCATATGGTAGCACAAATAGTGAGACCCATTGATAATTCTATGGAGTAACTTGCTGAACACTGCAAGCCATTTGTGCAGAGAGTGGTTTAAATAAGGGAATAAATATGTGCTTACGAATATTGAAGACCTGCCAATACATATTTATTCCCATTCATAAATATCTTTTTATTCAGAGGGCCAAAGAAGCCAACATGGGATGGATTTCCAACAATTTTGTTCTGAATTTTTTCTTTCATTTTCCCAAACACGCCCGTCCATTTTGTGGTATTTTCCCCAGGGTTCTCCCCAGGATTTTTCAAAACTGTGGGGGTTTTCCATTGTGGTTTACCAACATTTTGCAAAGCCATTGTGTGGGGTTCGGGGTTGCCCAAGGGCTTTAGATGCTCTGAGCTGCAAAAAAAAAAAGAGTTTCAAGAATTAAAAAAAAAAATTTGGATATTTTAAAAACATGCAACAACATGTAGTGGCTGTATTAATCAACGATTTAAACACCCGTATATTCAGTTTTAATTTAATACATGCTTCAACTTTTGGTTTTTGCTGATCAGACCTTCCTTCGCTGGTGCCTTCCATGCATGTGCCACAGGTGGCTGCTTTGTCTGCCTTTGGGTTTCCCTCAGCGCAGACTGCTGATGTTATTGGCTTAAAAAAGAGCCTATCTTTGATAGAGTTTCTGCCATTGTTGTAAGTTCTGCGAATGGTGTAGTATAAAATATTGATCTTCGTAAATGCAGCCCAGTAGCATATTGAGCACACGGCACAGAGAAAACACACATGTACGCGGGTGCATGTACGACGCCCATGACGGAAGTTCAGATTTCATGCAACACCGGCCACGAGGAACGTTTGGTACAGTGTGCAGTGTGGCCGCCGACGCGTATTATGCGTATTATTAGTATGTACATGTACACGGAAAAATACAGGACTATTAACTGCTTTTCATCTAGATTTTCTGGACATGCAATTTGCATCATGTAAGATAATTCTGAGTCATACTATCATAATTGTATTGTGCGTATCGGGGATGAAAAAATGGGTATCGGCCCGTTTTTTGCATATCGGCCGGAAATAATTGTGTATCGGGCTCGATACGCAAGTTTGTATGCGGGGAAAACCCTGTTCCCGATAAAAGTTGTCCAATAGAATCCCCTTCAATGAACTTGGCACGTGGTGCATCATATAGAATCCCCTTCAATGAACTTGGCAAGTGGTGCATCATATCCATGCGCCAGCACATGATACGCAGCGGGCTTCATCACTTCTCAGCGTGCATAATCAAATTTTAATGCGTGGTCATGTGATGCGTTCTGACCAGTAGGAATAGAAAAACTGTCCACAGTATATGAATATGTAATGAATGTTCATCAAATGCTCAACTGGGCCTTTGTATATGTAGACCAAAAGACCCACTTTCAAAGACCATAAATTGTAATATCTTGGACCTCACTGCCAAAACTAATTTTCTTATATGTGTATAAGCCATTCTTGAAAAAAGAAACTTAATCTTGTTTACAGAAAATGCTTAAGAAAACATGTTTTTGTTTTGAAAATATTTCTTGAAATATCGAGCAATTGGTACCACAAGAAAATTTTTCTTCTTTTAAGAAAATTATGTACTTATACATGAAAGTAATTCTCAGAAAAAGAAATTAAATCTTGTCTTAAGAAAATAAATTGTGGCTAGAAACTACACATGTATTTCTAAAAAAAAATTGAGCGTCTAGGAATTTGTAATTTCTATTAGAAGAAAAGGACATTTTTTGTAATACATCTTTTCTATAAATAAGAAAAAAATCTTGCTTGAGGGCGCTGTTTGGTACTCTTTTTAAAGTTATTCAGCATGCTCAGTTGCCAAGCGAAAACACTGTCTCATTTTACTTTGTCATTTTTTTCTGCCATGGGTATGTTCAAAATTTATCTTCACTGCCATGTTTAAATTTAGTTACCACAGATTTAGGAGGCTGTTTTTGAACCTAATTATTTCAGCTGTTTTAGGATTGGAGAGATTAAAAATAATGTCTATTAATAATCTAGTAGCATACAGAACAAATGCTACATACAAACAGCATGAATACTGACAACAAAAACTAACCATTCAGACATACTACAAAAGAAACCAAAAAACAGATATTCAGAAAACAACTTTTAACAATAACAATTAGTACCGCCTACACAAACGTGACCCAAATCCATCCAACAGTGTTGTAGCTAGGACCATCACAAGACCATCACAAGACCATCACAAGACCAGACACAAGGCCATCACAAGACCAGACATAAGACCATCACAAGACCATCACAAGACCAGACATAAAACCATCACAAGACTAGACACAAGACCATCACAAGACCAGACACAAGACCATCACAAGACCAGACACAAGACCATCACAACACC